ATAATGACGACGACGAGTATGATGATGACGATGGCAACGATGATGATATTGATGATGACGTTGTCTGCAGTGCTGCTGGATGATGATGATGATGACGATGATGCTGATGATGATGATGATGATGATTATGATGATGACGATGATGAAGAGGAGGAGGAGAACGACGACGATAATGATTGTGATGATGATGACGATGAGGATGATGCTGATAATGATGATGCTGATGATGCTGATGATGATGACGATGATGATGATGATGCTGATGATGATGATGATGATGATGATGATGATGGTGGTGATGATGATGGTGATGACGCTGATGATGATGCTGATGATGATGATGATGATGATGATGATGCTGACGATGATGATGCTGATGATGATGCTGATGCTGATGCTGATGCTGCTGCTGATGATGATGATGCTGCTGCTGATGATGATGATGCTGATGCTGATGATGATGATGATGATGATGATGATGATGATGATGGTGATGGTGATGGTGGTGGTGATGATGATGATGACCCTGATGCTGATGATGATGCTGATGCTGATGATGATGATGATGATGATGATGATGATGATGATGATGATGACGATAATGATGCTGATGCTGCTGATGATGATGATGATGATGATGCTGATGCTGATGCTGATGCTGATGCTGATGACGATGATGCTGCTGCTGCTGATGATGATGATGATGATGATGATGATGATGATGATGATGATGATGATGATGATGATGATGGGGTGGTGGTGGTGGTGGTTTTGGTGGTGGTGGGGATGATGAAACTCGTTTGGGCCGGCTTGGGCCGTCTTGGGACCGGCTTAGTCGTATGGTGGGTATCTGGGGGCCGTCGTCTTGGGTCCCAGAGGGACTCCCTCTGGGGCCGTCTTGGGGCCGTCATGGATGCCTCTTCTGCTTTCGTGGATTCCCCCTGGGCCGTCTCGAGCTGACGGAAGCCAGAAAAGGCGAGAATGAGACAAATCAATACAAACCGAAGGGTAATCAACAGTTTTGGCTCTTTCTGACCCTGTTGGCGGTCCTCTTGTGACCATTTTGGGCGCTCCTGGAGTCATCTCGGGCCGTCTTGAATCAATATTCGGCCGCCTTGGGGCCATCTTGCTCCGAGGCATCTTGGGCCGTCTTTCAGCCACGCGCAGAGGGGGGTGCGGGGAGGGGGGAGGGCCTCTTAGAAGGCGCGGGCCTTATCTATGGATGCAAGGCCGGCGCCTTCTAAGAAGCAGCCTGCTTCTAAGAAGCCCTCCCCCTCCCTCCATCCCATTGTGCGCGCCGCCAATCCGAGGCATCTTGGGCCGTCTTGGTGTCGTTGGTTGCCTGCACGGGCCGTGTGAGCGCGGGGCGCAGATGCACTGTTTTCAACGAGGGATCGTCGCTTGGGAGGCCCTGCGGGGCGCTTGGGAGCAGCGCCTGGGGGGGCCGGAGATTCACGATCCTCCAGCGGGTGCGCGTGGGATAAGGGGTCTAGGAGTTAGCCTTGGCATCGCTCGGACGTGTGCATTTTTCCTTCGGCGAGGACCATCGAGGAGCATCCTTGATCATTTGGGGAAAAAGCCACGCACAAAACCGAACAAAAAGCACAGGGAATGGACGTCCGAGCGATGGCCAGTAGCAGCCATGCGGAAAGTGCACGATCCTCGAGCGAGCGCGCATGGGGTGAGGGTTCAGGCGCTACCTGCCATGAAGAGCACCATTCTCGAGCGGGCACGCGTGGAGCGGGGGGGTTCGGGCGTTGGCTGCCAGGCGGGAAGTGCACCGTCCTCGAGCGGGCACGAGGGAAGAGGCCTCGGAAAGGCGGCGCGGTGCACACAAGAGTTTGCTGGTAGAGGGAGGGGCGGTCCCATACTAGAATTCAAAATCCTACGAGACAGACCTTGGCATTCTTCCACGCCTCAACGTGCCAGGGGGCGCGGTTGCGGGTATCGAAGCCGACGTGCCTACAGGCTGGAGTCAGAAACATCGGGTCGGTAGTCCACGAGATGGGAGCAATACGGATTTGCAGAGATGGGAGTCGCGGGAAATACAGGAGTCTATAGACGGAGCTGAAAGAATGAGACGGAATTGGAGAGACGGGAGACGATCCTGAAGGATAGGCTAATGAAACAGACAGAGCTGAGGACGCACGTGCGCGAATCACAAACATGTGGTGGGCAGAAGGCAGATATTCGTGGATACTGAATACTGAACTCGACCTTGCTGGATTCTGAAACCGGCCCTGGTGGATACAGAAACTGCGACTTTGGTGGACACCAGAACCGACCTTCGAGAACTGAAACCTATTCTGGTGGATGCCGAGGCTTGTTTTGGTGGATGCCGAAACCGCTTTTTCAAATACCGACGCCGTTGTTTCGGAGGCCTCCTGAGACCACTTAGGGCTCTCTGTGTACGCTAGGGGTCGGGACTTTCTTTTGTCGCCTAGGGGCTCTCTCAGGTCGTCTTGGGTCTTTCCGGAGGCTCTCTATGGCCATCTTGGGG